GAACTTGGACCAAGTTCTAGCATCGTGGACACAGGCCTTTATCAGCTCGTTCATTGAATCGAGCGCGAGTGGTATGCGTTTATACCTGATCGTGATGAACGTGTCCTTGATGGTCTCGCGCACCGTGTGGGCCTGGGCCTGCGACATGCGCCTGAGATTTCTCACTTCTTGCCTGAGGTCCTTCGCCTTCTTCTGCAAGCCTCTCAGCTGGTTGTACATCTCCGGCGTGAGCGCCAGGTCCCTGTACACGTACTGGCCGGTCACCAGTGCGGCCGGTTTCGGCGGCGGTGTCGGCTTGTGCCTGTCTCTCTCTGAAATCGTTCGTTCGACGCGTAAGAGCGCGTGTCTGCCGCGTCATCGCCCACGAATTGCGCCAACACTTAAAGGATTTAAGCTCGCACGGCCACCGTTCTTTCTCCCGTGCGAGAAGCAGCCTCCGAGTGGCGAACGAACCAGGACCGAGGATTTTGCCGAGGATATCAAACCGCGCGGCCGTGAGTGCTAGTCGAACCCCTTCGCGAATAATGTAGAAAACATTCTAATAATTGAATGAGAGATGAATCGCACAACCCGCGCTATTTTATTTCATTTTATTTCTAATCTCCGGATGTAAAGACGAGAAAGATTTAATTGCCAAAATGCGGCCAAAGACAAAATTATCAGGCACCCTCCTGATCGTTATACTGCAAATCTATAAGTGTGCTACTTTCGTACTCGTACAGGGTGAGTCGTAAGGACTCACCTAGAACTTGGACCAGGTTGTAGCATCGCGGACACAGGCCTTAATACCTGGAAAATTAATATTTTTGCGCACTAGAGACCCCGTAATCAGACCAATAAGAGTTCAAATTCCTACGAGTGAGTAAGAAACATAGGCTGTCTCGCTACAGATACAGATTCAGTACATCAGTATAACGATTAGGAGGGTGCCTAATAATTTTGCCAACGGCTGAATTAATCGCGGGCAGAATCCGACTCTCCCCCGAGTTTTCTCGTCGACCGAGTGTCCCGGGGCCATCCCGCGTCTCGCCGAGAGCAAAGGCTCGCGGAGGGCGAAACGCGCTGATTGCCATCGTGGCAGATAAACGATTCGTCGGCGGCAGATTTCACGAGTGCACGGCCGAGTTCCTCAATCAGCTGATTAAATTTGACGTTCGTCACTCGTTGCGCCGCTGATCGACGGCCTCGTCATAACGGGCTTCGCACGATGGAAGAGCGGGGCCCGGTGAAATGAGAGGACAGGAACGGTTAAACGGGTCGGCGACACAACACAATTTTACTGTCACTTTTATTGCCGCGGTTTTATTGGACGGATAACGAAAGGCACGACAGCGGAAGGAGGAGACAACGGATGACCTAACTGGCGGATCGAAAGTGCCCGCTGGTATTCCAAGCGGAAGGGCCGCGCGTGTTGTACGTGCGTGTGACGCACGCCCTTCGCGGCACATCCCGCTGCCCTACGTTTCTCCACAATAACATAATTATCTCCACCGACGCGGAGACGTCGCTCGCCGATCGCCGCTAGATATTTCTATCGGCGATCGGCTCGAAACGCGCGATCGAAAATCAATTCCCTTGCGCTCCGACGTGCGAGCGGTTTTAATCGAGTTCCCCGACGGCTCCGCGCTGGGTCGTGCAGAAATTTCACGTGTATCTCCGACAAACGTAAAACAGGCGCGCGCCGGTTTCTAACATGGTGGCGAACATGATTTTTATTTCGTATTCTTTTATAAATGAGATATAGGATAGAGCGGAGTTGGTTCGCTCCAGTTAAAGGAAAATTCGGATGAAAAATGTTGGAGACAAAAGGCCCGAAAAGGTCCTCGTCCTCCCTGTCTTGAAGAGCTTTTCCCATGTCTAGAAAACTTTTTATCCGATTTTCTAACTGAGCGAAACAGCCTCGCTTCACCCTGTTTGATAATTCACCGTCGACTTTCAAGTATCTGTGAAGTGAGGTAGAAGCCTTCACGTGACACTTTATCAAACGGTACCAATGCGCGAGAGGAGCCTAAGGGTGCAAACCGAGGGGGAAACCGCTGACCAAAATCTTGTACACCAACGCCCACTAATGCCCAGTGGGCATTACTTTATCTTATTATCTTATTTTATCTTTATAATGCCCCAGCAAGGCCTGATGGCCAAACCAATGCCCAGTAATGCCGCAAATATGTACACCATAATGCCCTCAGCGGTTTCCCCCTCGGTGCAAACTCATGGAGCGGAATCGTGTGCGCAGAAAATCGCGGAACGAGAGCCTTGACCAATCACGAGGGTTCCGCTGTTTTCGCGATTGGTCAAGGCTTTTTTTCTGCGTACACCGTTCCGCCCTATGGGTTTGCACCCCAAGAATCTTCATCAACCGCTGCCGTTCACCAGCGGCACCTGCCCTACGCGAGGTCGAGAGAAAGAAGTCCGCGCCGCGCGATTTTACGATCCGTGAGACAATCCCAAATGAACAAGAGGTACGTCCCCGACAAGATGAGTGAAGGATGAATTTACGAGCGGGGTCGGCAGGACGGAAGGAGGTGGACGGATAAGACGGATGTATTGTGATGTTTCCGAGTGATCGGCGGCGGCAGATACGCAGCCGTGACACATCGCTCGGTCTGGCGAACACAGAGAGACGGGAAAGCGAGAAAGGGGATGGAGAACACACGCGCGGCACGCGAGCGTCGGGGTGCGACGCCCAAGAAAATGCATTTGTCGCAAGTGTCCCGTAAAATAATGCGAACGTACGAATTGCCTCCTGTCCCGCGCACGGACGCCCACGCGGCCGCGAGGCGTTCGTCAACGCGATGATATATGAAGGGCACGTGGAAGAGGGCGCGTAGAAAAGGGCACCGTGCTCGTCGCAGCGATATGCAGCTTGAAACAGCGCTTCGAAGTAAGAGAGACACTGTGAGTTTCTCAGCCGAATGTAAGGTCGCGCGTTGCCTCGCGGATAATCTCGAGAAGAGAGACACACACGCCGAAGAGAATCCACGTTTCGGAGAGAGTAAATAAAAGTTTGCTGGTTACTGAATGTGATTGATATGAAATGCGAAATGCGTTTATCGAAGCTAACTTCAGCAGGCTTTCCAATGAGTCTCGCATGAAAACATACGGTGTTTGTACGTACGTGGCTTGATTTACTCTAGCTATTTTTTCGCATCGCCTGGACCGGAGCAGCAGTTGCCTCTCCCCGCGCATGGCGTACTTTGGAAAAATCGATTTACATGGAAATGAACATATTAAACTCGTTTAAAAATCCAGCAACGTCGACGTGCAGTAGCGCTCGTCTCTCAGCTTTTTATCGAGAGTGGACTTACAATTTTCCGGTGCCCTCCATACAGTGTCGTCCCAGGAGGCGAGGAACGAATGAAAAAAAAAAAAGGGAAGAGACAGAATTCGAAACGACGGAGCGGCGGAACAAGATTGTACCAAAGATTTCGAACGACGCTCATTATATGAACAACATATAAATATGATAGACACTGCGTGACACATAGGGAAGAAGCATAGACACTAGGACTGGAACTATTTGGACGCAATATGCCTGATTATTTCGTAGATTATCGCGATCGGTAATAAACAATCTGAAATATTGAAATATTTGCAGGAGGCTTTAGCAATCGAATGTCTCGTTTCAACATATATGAAACTTTTCGATGGAACGTGGAATGTGTCTCGTTTAATACGAGATTATCTCCGTAGAACAACGATATAATTTTGGAAATTGTATCTAAATGTCGCTTACTCTTAAAAATATTAACAGTCGAATAGAAGAAAGTTTACTAGAAAAATATTAATAGAAAGATCCTTATTACTAAACAAACTTTTAAGTAAATGAGTTCTGTTTGAGTTTTCTTCATGTTGATGAAGATATTGGATTAATTAAATATGTTAAAAACTGCCAAATAGTTCCATCCCTAATAGAAAGACGGGGAAGTTTTACCTTGCGACGACATCCTCGGCAACGTGGAGGATTTGATTGCCGGTTTCGTAGGTTTTGTGTCCGCTAGTCGTGGTAGGCATTGCAGAATCGAATACGAAAAGGCGTTAGAGATTATTGCGTTAGTATCCGCGACGGAATCTTTTTTTTTTTTTTTTTAAGAAATACAGTTTTTTCTTGCATGCGAAACCGCTTGTGTGTTTCATCTTACGATTAAATCGCTCTCTTATCACTAATACTGCACTCACTGAATACGATATTCGTTACTGGGTAATCGTCGGAAGTGGCAAAAACGAATCATCGTATTTCAAATGTAGGGATACCTATTTTTAATTATTATCAGTCACAATTGTTGCGGCGTAATGTCAGAAGATTATAATCGTTGGGCGAAATAACGCAAGAATTTTATTATATCCGAATCTTTGTGTAGAAGCAGGTTGAAACAATGCAATATTTTAGAAAAAAATTTTTACCTTTTCTGCTCGTAAAATGGGTAGAATTAAACGTTAGACATTAGTTCTCCTGTATTAATTTTATGCGTTTCTTAAAATGGAAAAATTATTAGACGAAAGTCCCATATTATGAGACAAGCTCCTAATATGAGATTGCAGGGTTTCTGCTAATTAATAGGCGTCATCTGTTGGTTCTATTACGAATTTGTTGGAGTGAAATGTGTTTAGTGGGAAATTCATTGTTAAATCGTGTAAACGTGACGAGAAAAGATTGTTCATTGAATTTGGACGTTGAAAGCCTGCTATCTCATATCAGTAGTCTATCTTAGTCTATAATAAGGGGCTCTCTACATTGTTTCGCTCAACGAAATTGTGGGGATAGAAAAAAAAAGTGAGACGTACGTATTTAGTATCAATCACTACAATAAACGTAATAAAAATTTGCATTATTACCAAAGAATACTGTCAGCGTTCGAAGATCGACATTGGGATTGACACGAGAAAATATGTCGCAATCAGATTCATTATTGTATTTGGCGTTGTGCTAGTTACGTATGAATCTATTATGTAAATGCACCGAGAAGAATTACTAAATGCGACCGAGCAATTATTCGATCGGACTGAAATCGAGCACGACTCACGCGAGAACTATGCAAGATTTTGAAAGTAGGAATACAGATTCTGTGATTATAGGCCTTCGCTACTCGTGGGAATCTTCAATCGAACTTCAATCGCGATCAGACATACTCTTCAATATTATCCCGCGGCACAAAATTGCGTCCAATTCCATCGCTCATTGCAAAATCCTGACACGAATCTCGTTGTATCGTTCTTAAATTGCAGAGTCCCTGCGACTTTGGCGACAAAAGATCGACGTTGTCATCGCGAATTTCAATTGCAATTGGATCTTCGATATAAACTTGAGGGGGAGAAAGTTCGTCATTTATCCTATCATATTAGCAGCGTCTGAAGGATTAGAAGAACAGAACTTTGAATATCGGGACTTAAAAATTTACGCATGTATCTCGCGATTGCTGCAAAACGAGAACTCTTTCTTGCGAACTGTTTGGCGACCTGAGGTACACTACAACGTTTAGACGAACGTCTGCCACTCCTTAACAAATGATCCGACAGTGGTGGATTTGGTATTCTAGCCTTTACAGCGTGCTTAGCATACATTTTGTTTTTTCTTTTTCTTTTTTTTTTACGTGACGTGCGTTAGCCGTTACCTGCATGTTGCGGGGAATGTTGTTTGGGAGAGTTCATGTCTGGTGGCTCGTCACTGAAGGACACTGACTTTTCAAACGACACCGACTTGTCTGCAATAGATGTTGATCAGCATATTTTCGCGTAGTGTATGTGCGTAAGAAGCGTAAGAAGCGTGTAACGTGAAAGTGTGCATTCGGCCGGCATGGACCTCGGCAATGGGGGGATGAAATCCAAGCGCGGTCTCTTGGAATTCCCTTTTCGTTTCGATCGAAAAAAGAATTGCACTCGCCACAAAATACTAATTAAACTGAGAGCACAACTTCTCGTGTTCTCCTTCAGTTTGCGCCAATCAGCTTTTCTTTACATGACTCTAATTTGGAAACGTTCGAATCAATTCTGATGTTTCGCAATCTCTATTTCCGAGAAGTTCTGAGCAACCGCTTTCGCGAATCACCCCTAAAGCCGATGTAAAACGATCATGAGGGTGTCGAGACTTTTCGGTGCGTGCACCATGCAAACAAAAATCACGGATGATCGCAAGGGACACAATGCGTTATGAATCGACGGCATTTTGTTCGTAACAATTTTCAACCGCGGGAAACGTAAAGGAAAGTAACAAAAAGATCGCGCGATTTGAATATAGACAAACGTAACGAGCAAAACGACGGAAAAAGAGGACAATCACGAATGAGCGGATTTAAAAGCTCGAAAATGGCTGGTGAAATCAAATGGAGATCGTACGAGCAAGAAGATGAAATAATGACGAACGAATATGCGTATGAGAAGGACGTGCAACGACGACAACGCAAAAGATAAGAGGCGACAATGCAGCGAGCATTCGCAGAAGTGCATACACAAAAGAAACATATATATCGAAGCGCACCTTTGCCTAATTTTGGCGGTTTAACGTCAGTCCTTAAGTACGAGTCATCTGTAACGGCAGGTTGAGACACTTGAATTTTAAAGGACACGCGTTTTATTAACAGCAATAAAAGTAGAGGCAACGTTAAATATATATATGATATATAAAAATGTATATAGAAATATATATAAAAGTAGATAAAGTTGTAATATCTGTATGTTATATATATATATAATGTATATATATATATAGCGGTTATACAGTGATTCAGAGGTGAATAGAAGATAGAAGAAGATATGAGAGACACACCTGGCAGTGAGGCAGAGCTGGAGCTAGAGTGTTTGTCGAACTCGTCCCCGGCGCCTGGTGTGTGCGTTAGTCGGAATAACAAAGCAGTTGTACAGCAGGGTTTCAGGAGAGTTCAGTCCGTGAGACTACGCCGCTACGGGCAACTATATGCCGTCGAATTCAACTAGACTCAATGTCCTCGGAAGCGGCTTTCCGAGCTTGTTACGCGAAAATATTTGCTAACGTGCGTGCTTAAGCTCGAAACAAAGCTCGCTGACAAAATTGATCACGTTCACGATCGCGTCCCGTTCAATCTGGCAAAATTGTCTCGCGAAATTTTTACGCGTTTGTCACGTTGTCGCACGTTCCTCTTGAAAAAAAAAATTATTGAGAAGCAGCGTCAGCCTTTGTTAATTTTTATCGAGGGAATTTACATGAAATTACTATTTTATTCGATTCGATAATAACTGTGGCACAGAAAATTTGTATCACGATCGTTATTCAATTCGTCAGTTTTTGTAAAAGCGGCTTTTATTTTCGTTCTATTTTTGGTCTAATAAAGCTACACCACGGCGGCGGTGCGATATCACCGGGTAGTGAAAATATCGCCAAATGATACGTCCGGATATTCTCTAGCGTTAATTTCATTTTCGGAACATGCTGGGTACGAGCAGTGGCATATTGTTACTGGCGCGTAGCTCACGGCATAAATTCTTCCAATATATATCTGCATGTATGTACGCAACACATATGTATACATATGCACGTTTATATCTAAAAGTTGTGTCGTTGCGGCGAATTTCAGCTTATCTAGAAGGCGACCACGACGCTCATATCACGAATAAAATATATAAAGTAATATAGTTAAAATAATACAGCATCAATGTCGAACACTTGCCTACTTTTTGTACGGAATACTGAATATTACATTTATCTCCAGCTCTAGTCTTTGTTTCGCTCTCGTTTCTAAGGACTGGTCTTTCATTTTCTGGTTAACTGTTAACCAGAGGTTAGTCGACTCTCTGTCTCTTCTCGGGTAAGAATGTAGAAAACAATGGAGAGTCGACTAACTTCTGGTCGACAGTTAACCGGAAAATGGAAAAACCAGGCCTAAGAGTATGAGAGAATTCGAGAATTTAGAAATTACACTTTCGATATTTTTCATCCACAGTTGGATAATTGCAAATATTAGCGTGGCAGTGTTGCAAAAAGAAAATCGGCGTAGCCGCCTTTTCTCAATGTCTAGCTATCGACTATTGATTCCGATGCAATTGCGGTATGGTAATGTTACTAAGAACCGTGGTTACGAGATGTCAGAGTGGTCGAAAGTTGATGAAGATGGATAGATGAACAGGCACAGATGAAACGGACAAGACGAATGTTAGTAGAGACTATTTTTATATGGGGTGTCTAGCAGTCTCGTATGCTTCTTCGCTGAAACTATCTCAGTGAATTAAGTGAGTACGCTCTAATACTTTTGTAAAATAAGCACTGAAAGGGAATGAATGAAGTGGCATCGCTAAACAGCTAAATCGATCGTCTTTAATTGGACAAAGATTTCCCAAGATCGCTATGACGACTTTTGCACGGCTCGTCCCAGAAGTAACGAGAACGATTGTGATCTGTGATCTCTCGCGTGAATTAAAGAAACTTTGGTTTTCTTTTTATTTTAATAAATCGTCCTCGCTGCGCTTGAGCCGAGCCTCTCTTCTTATGCGATACGTTACCGAAAACCGTGGTAAAACGACGTTATCGTGAAAGCGAAATCGAGGGTACGGAAAGAAACCTGGGGAGGAAACGAAATCGCGAGTTTTACGGGACACGTACCTGCTGCTCTCGCGTAAGGATCACGTCCCGGCGGGACCTGCAAGTACTCTCGCGGCGAAGGGCTGGTGTGCGGCGCGTGTGTCAGGGCTTTCTGCACGAGTCCGGTTAGATTGGCCAGTTGTCTTTCCATGTGCTCCACCCTTATCCTGCGACAGATAATTCTCAGTCAGGAACGGCACAGTCCACGCTTATCCGTCGCTTTGAAAAAAATATGGGACAGCTCCGAAAATTTATACGCTAGACGTTCAGCGAACACGACGCTTGGATGCTGCAAGAATCATGGTTGCTTTAAACAGACATTACGTATCCCTTCAGACAGTTTCATGCGCCAGACGACAAATAATCCATCAGATACAGAACGAAAGAAATCCATTTACCAAATTAGATATTGCCCGATCGATTGGAGTTAAAATGGTACATTTTAAAAACTAAACGGAAGATCGTCAGCAATTGTTGTCAAAAATATTACATTTCATTTCCTTTTAATTTTTTAAACTTGTTATCTGCCTTGGTTTATCTCAATTTGGGCAAGCAAGTAGCAGATGAACAGCTTAGAAAACAACTCGATTTCTATTAGTTCCGTTATCGAATGAGATTTTTTATCTTGAACCATTATTCATAATGCTATCGTGCTAAGAATGAAGATGATAATGATAAGCTGAATGTCATATAAAACATGATAAGATGACGACATAACTGATCAATGTTATGAAAAAGCAAAGTGACGATATTGATGAAAAATATTAACACTACACGTTATACGAGATTGTCAGAGATTGTCAAATATTCTTTAAGTGAAGAACATTTTAGTAAGAAATATACCTTTCATTTTACTGAGTCTTATCATTATAATCTAACATTTTGGGCATTCGTTCTATAGAGATCGAGAGACTTTGTTTCACAACATACTAACAATCAAAACTGAAAGTGACTCTGCGTATATCCGTTTTCACCGCGGGGACATTCCTCGCGACGGGAGATTCTCTGCATGCACCGGCGCGATACATAGTAAAATCTTAATTTCCGAATACATACTTTCTGTGAGTGAAATCGGATATGAGTTACATAACACGATGCTAATCACGTGCATCTATCGCTTCGCATGACAAGTGACAGCAGTGCCCAATCTACGTCACGGTGTGACAGTACATAGAATGATATACAGGGTGATATATGTGACACGAGGTGGATCAAACCGAGTACGTGATCCTCATGGCGAACAGTCGGCTTGATACAACTTTTGTAAAAGTCGGACGAGGGTAGAGTTTGGACGGTCGACAAGTATCCGGTTCAATTTCCCAATATACACTTTTCCCTCCACGGCGTAGCGTCAATTTTGGCCTAAGTTTTTCTACGAGGACCGAATGCTCGCGACAGCTCCCGAGTTTATTTATTTAACTAGCAGGGAGATTCATCACACAGATGTCTGCTAAGCGTCATCGATGCGTTTCGTGCGACGAAATATATTTTCCGTGGAAATTTCATCCGATTAGCGAAGTACAAGGTTCTTATGTAAAATTAACTCTCTTTGTATGCAGAAGCAAAATAAGGTAACGCATTGTGAAAGACTGCAAAATTAATGTTTATAACCAAACGTAATAATATTACTATTATAGTGATTTCTACGTGGATTAATGTGGAAATAGTGCAGAAATAGGAGACAAATATCATTGATTGTCATGTTAGCTTTGTCGCAGGGGGATGAATATTGTAGAGAATTTTGTCTGCTATGCCGTTAAATTTACACCGAGGCACGTTAATGTACTTATAACGTAGTTGTGTATATTCGACTTTTTCACGATTTTTTACGTGCAAAACACCCTGTATATGACCAATGCATTCTCGTCTACGATCGCTAGTCGGCATGCTGCATTCCACCGAGTTACAAGTTACACTGCTATATGTATCATATATATTCTTCGAATCACATTAATTATGGCATTATTATTACACATACAATACACGCACGTATACACGCACGCACGCACACACACACCCATACGTACGCACGCACGCCCGCGCACTCACGCATACACACACACATACGCATATACATCTTGGGCTTTCAGCAATAGAGTGTGTAATTAATTATTTCGCAAATAGTATAAGCAGAGCATCCCGGAAACTGATAGACAGTGTGTAGCATGCATTAACATATCTATTTTATCATTATTTTATTTTTTGAAAATCAAGTAAAATTTTGAAACATTATATTAAGATCAATTTAAAAAGTATAAATTTTTGTAGTACTTATATTAATTCGTATTTTCATATAGAATTAAAGTACAAAAATTATTAACTTTAAATATTAAATAAATATTCCGATTAAAGTGGAACTCAATTCGAAACATTAATTAAAAAGTAGATTTACATTCCCCCATGTTATCCGAACACACATACACATACACGCAGGTGTACACTGTATATATACATGCAATCTATTGCTTGATGTAAAACTTGAATTTTGCAATAGATAAAATAATTCCTTTGTTCTTGCTATTGTCTAACATTAACTATTATTGATTATCAATTTTTTTTAGAAGAGAATAATTTGAAATAGAAAGACATCTGCGAAAATTATCATCATACAGTTTTATGATAAATACAGTCGAAACCTTTGTGCAAAAAAGAATATAAATCTTGCATATTCAATTAAGCATCAATTAAATAATGAATTAATTTAAAAGTTCAACATTACATTATTTCATAATTTATACAAATAGATATTTGGCCTAATTATAATTGTACGTAATTTGCGTCCGATGAATGTAGTAATAATCAATTACGCCTCCACTTTTCAAGTACATATTAGAACCGTGCCACTGATCAATTAGACTCTCTCGCGCAAGAGATATAATCCGACGAAATTGGCAGTGACATCACTTTCTTTCTCCTTTTCTGTCTTTCTCTCTCATGATCACTCAATTAAGATACCCGACGTACTCTACAACATGCACTTGCAGACGATTATGGACAGAGCTCCTGCTTCGCGTGACGAAGAGAGTAGTAGCGTTAAAAAGGGAACGCGTAATTCTCTCGATAAAGAGGGACTCGTAATAAAATTCCTATAGGTAAATTCCTGAACTCGGTAGAAAAACAACAGAAATTTTACGGGCGGAAATCGTTAGCGTTCAGACTCGATCAGTCAGGTTGACATTTCACGAATGCGAACGTTATATTTGTATAATGATTGGGTCAATTCCGGAATGGCAAATCTCCCAGTTTCTGTTCGGACACGTCTTTTTCTGAGATTTGAAAAGTTTCTCATTTTGATAAATGCGAGGCCCATTGAATGGCAAAGCCCGTGAAATATCAGTGTGAAAATTTTGTGACTGCTTTTTATTGGGCAGAAATAATGAGAACGTATGAATAAAAGGAGTAAAAAAATGAACGAGATTAATTCGAGTGACGCTACCACTCCCTACAAATGCGCAGCGACGGATACTGGTCAATATTGCAATTTAATTACGAGACTTTGAACAGTAATTAAGAGGCCGCAAATATTTAATTTCTCCGTGAAATGAGTTACATGGAATTTTAAATTGTGAATTTTTTTTTTCTAAACGATATTATAAGCAATCAAGTATAAATATAATGTACAAACGTATCGTGTCATCTCTAAACAAACAGAAAACATATTGATAATAATTCTACACTTATAAATAATTTGAACTATAAGGAAAAAAGATGTTTCTTTATCATATCTTTTTCATTACCAAATTTAACAAATTTTGCATTTTCATATAAAAAAAATTAATTTGTTTTAAGAGAGAATGATTATATTTGACATTTCACTGTGACGAAACAGCAACATCGAAAGTATCCATCTCTGTTTTTGAGTGACGAATCCGGGCACCAAACGAAGAGAGAAATCATTGACTTTTCCATTTGAACCGGGCGATGTGATTACTTGGGGAAGTTTCTAGTCTGTAGCTATGCTTGTAAAAATTATGTAGGACAATTTCCGGGATTAAGAGAGACGTTTGCCAACAAGAGTCCCGGATTCACCACCGCTCCGCTTTCAGAGAGCAGTTTGTTTGAAACGACACTCATGCAACTCGTATTCATCCACAAGAAGCCTGCCAGCTAGCTAACCAGCCAGCTAGCCAGCCGGTAGTGGCACGATTCTCGGGTACGTGGTTTCAATTCTCTCCCTCTCTCTCTCTCTCTCTCTCTCTCTCTCTCTCTCTCTCTCTCTCTCTCTCTCTCTCTATTCATTTCCTTTTTATTCCGCGCAGGCAGGCAGATTTCTACACAAGACAAACACGCAGGCGACAGAGTGTGCGTGACGTGGGGTGCAGTACCGAGTAGCGTCGTAGGCCTGTCCGCCGGGTGGCAGGGGGGGCGGCGCCCCCGGAGGAAACGGGGACCGCGGGGGACCAGACGGCGGACGCCCCGGTGGTTTCACGCCGTAAAGACTGTACGATTCCTCCAACAGCTCCGTATCGCTGCACCACCCACAACAAACATACACGTCCGCGCTATCAAACATCCGTGTGGAGTAGGAGGCGGTGCGGGGACCAGGGGAGAGGCCAGGGGAGAGTTTCAGTCATTCGGGGGTGGGACCGGAGACGACGTTTTTCCGGTAAAGAGGTCGCGACCAGGAGGACGGGCGGATGGGGGATTTCCGGGGTGAATGGATTTTATTCATATGAATTGTACAGCGTCGCTGTATTTGCACGGATAGACGTGGCACGGATAGATGTGCTGGATCTGTTATTAAAGACGCTATATGTAACAGATTAACTCGTGCATTTATGCTCAATCGATAACTTGAGAGACACATTGTCCGCATTGGACACCTTCGTGCGGCAAGAAAATTTTGTGACCGCTTGTTTAACGAATTCAATCAGTTCTGTATTCAGGCAGAGAGAGGGTAAAAATATTCTGCGCGAATGAAATATTGGGCGGGGACGTTAATAAAGCGAATGAAATGAATTTTGATGTAATGAAGTAGCTAACGTTCTATCCATTCAAGTACTATTTCCCTATTAAAAATCACGTATACGTAGAGTATTCTAAATTCTCGACTTTTTCTTCTCGTTAATGAATTTCGTTCATTAATTTACAAATTAATTTAATTTTAAAAGATTGATTATATAACAAATTCTCAAATCAAAGCTTCGCCGAAATCAAACATGCAATCAGCGTACAATTATTAAATAGAGAATGAAATTTTTCTACATCCATACATATTTATATTTTTAGAATTCGATTAAAGATCTTTAAGCTTTAAATTGTTCACAGCGCTCAATGCGAATTCTCGATACAATTTGGGCGAGAGACAAGTGAGTTTGAAGCCAATCAGTCAGGGCAATTCGCAGGTAAAAGAAAACGTGACAAGTCTGGAACAGATTCAGAAAGTCCTTCTCGGGTGCAAAAGTTCAATTGCACTCGTATCATCGTGCCCTTTCGGCGGATGCGATCGCGAGTCGCAGTTACGTCGAAACTCTTACCTGGCTTCTTCGTCGATAACGGGCGTGACAGTCCCCGAGTACTGCGAATAATACGGATCCTCATAGCTGCTGCCGGCGCTGTAAGGTCCGGGTGGATATCTTCCGCTTCCGGAACCGACGCCGCCGCCGCGCTCGGGACTGCTCATGTATCCGCTCTCGCCGTGTAACCGATCTGCAGAGATGTAGCGATTCGCGTATTAATCGAGATATAATCATACCATGAAAAACACCATCAAGCTCTCTTTCCCTGCGTTCATTACCTTTACATTAGACTGCTTGAAAAAATAACAATCGGTTGCTATATACAGGGAGACTCATAACGACGTTCACGTTATATTATAGTCACACGAGAAATACAATTAAACGTAGGAAAAATGCCGCCAGCAAAATCTTAAACAACGTGCGAAACCAAACATTTATACTGTCTTGTGATAAACGACTAAGGGTCAGTTTCACAAACATCGGTTAACTGCTAACCGAGGGTTCATTGATTCTCTGTCTCTTCTTAAATAATAAGATGGAAAAAGATAGGGAGTCGACTCAACTCTAGTTAACAGTTAACCGATGTTTTGCGAAACTGGCCCCTGAGGGTCAATAAACGATTAGTGGACAGATCGAAATCGGGAGTTTTGTTAATAATTTAACGATCAGGAATTCATTGCAATGTTTGTTCTACTTGCTCTACGCGCAATGTCTCTTGTAACTTCAAGAGATTTTGTTTCATGATTGTTATCTATTTATGGCTCGATACCTCCGTCGAGTACGAGTGACGCGCGAAGTGTGAACATGAAATTACAATCAGGGGACCCTATCGGCGAAGGAGCTTCGTTTATATTAGTCATCGTGATATGGAGAGGATGAGAAAAAAAGATCCTTCGCGGTCGTACTTCTTACGGGAGGGCGCACAATCTACGGTTCTCGAGTGACAGCGGGAGCGTATGAAAAATGGGATGAAAGAGATGCTGTTTTTCGTACATTATGATGTCACATAGCACAAGGAAGACGACATACGCAGGAGGTTTCTAAAGGCTCTTGAGGGATGTAGCTTCAGTGTTGGGAATATATCGAACAACTTATCGGCAACTTCGTAATGATTCTGTAGCTGTTCTACACTTTGTACTCTTGCCTTGCGTAATCGGTAATTTACAAACGCGATCGCTCGAATGAATATGGTGCATAATTTTGTCAGCTCCAGATATCTGCGTTGAATTGAAATACCTCAAGATTTTGTCACCGCAAATTAGGAAATAAATAATTACAACGTTTACGCCGAATATTTCTGGCTAAATTAGGATTAACAAAAAATATAGGAGACCGATGGAAGTGAACGGACGCGTTGCATAAAATTGTTACGGGTCGATTTTCGAGGAAGTTCTTTCTTTACTCGACAGAGTTTCGGTTTCCTTTTCCTCGCGCGACGTGTCAACGGCACCTGGACTTTGCCGGCGCAAATTCAAAACACCTCGATTTCATTTTCTATTTATTCCCAACACTTTCCACGGTCTCGAGGTCGTTTAATTAAAACTTGGCTCGACCCGGCTTGACTAATCGCGATTGCCAATTTCATGGTTTTCCTGCAGTTGCTGCATTTCCAATAGCCAACCACACCCTCGCGGCACAGCTTCTCCTTATTACGAATATGCTACGTTGTTACATTTTTGTCATACGCGGTTTGCTTAAAATTTATTACGGCCTTTCGCTCGTGGCTTATCATTACTCTTCGTCCAACGACTTTCTTGCGTTCAGGGATAAAAAGATCTCTCTTTCACGATGTACATTTTGGACAGACAAAGATTAACTCGCGTCTTACAAGGATTTAGTCTGCAGAGATTTATCTATCGCTTAAATTATACACACCGCTATGGAAACAACGATTAATAACCGCGTTGCCATTTTTTCGCTAGTAACTGGAATTTTTTTTTTGCGTTATAACCGGATTCTATTGCACTTCACACACGCAAACCGATTGCGCCGTAGGAACTGTTACAAAATTTACAAGGCGCACGATATTTCTCTCTGCGTACCGGGGTAAGTAACGGATTACAAAAGTTCTTAGCCGGAAACTGTATAAACGTGCGTGAATTGTTAAGGATGTTTCGTAAATTTTATACTGCACGTGATCCGAAAAAGGTTATTGCTGCCTGGATACGCTTTCCTTTTCAGCTTACGTCAAGCGTGCCTTTTTAGTAATTAGTCGTAAGCCGCGTGTGATTGTTACTTGCTCAAATACTGTCAGTAATATTAGTAATCAGCAGTTTGCTTAGTAACACACTGTATGGGCGGTTCTAGGTAAAAAAGAAAATAGCTTCAACGTTTCCTTGATCGCTTGTAACCAGCCCAAAATTTACTCAACGGACATTTTATTGTTCTTCACGGCACACGCACACACCTGCGGTCGTTTCTATTGCAGTGTAGCTCAAAGGAGGCGCTTATGGCCCGCAAGCTTCAGGTATCAGTCGAGATTTTTGTTAAGCACATCGGTATTAGTGATTAGCGATCGTCCCGCGATCGCGGCCCGTCGCGGAAGGATCGAGCTGTGTCTGACGAATGTTTAAGGATACTACTGACCTGGTATACTATAGAGGGAGACCGAGCTGTCTCTAGAGAAGCGCGCCGAGCCCCCGAGGCTTCCAAGGGGACTCTTACCACACTGGTAGCTGCGAAGCGGCTTGGCCGGCGGCACCCCGCCAACACCTATCCAACCATCCAAAAAACCAAACAAAAATCCAATGTACCCAGGTGCTCCGATGCACGTATCTCCTGTTCTCCGCCACCCTTGCTAAGCCGTTCGACGTTCAGTGCACATGCAGAAGTGAACAAGACGAGAGTTCCGCGATCTCCGCGCGGTCCAGCCATTTCTCATGTCTCTCCGCGGGCCTCTCGCGCGTGGTTCAATTGTATTAAAAATATATACACCGCGTAAACGTTCGACACTTCCGAAACGCGAATGTACAACTCGGTTGGGGCCGCGATCGCGCGCGACTTGTCAAGCGGAGCGAGATTGCGGGTCTCGGGCAAGTGAGAAGGCGCGATGATCGACAGTCGCCTCTTAGAAATTCAACGAACATTATCGCACCCGGATTCGTACTACGAATTTGTAACCGCGCGATTACGAGCGTCGTTAAAATTTTGACGTAACAGCTTGTCGACTTTTACATATATGCACTTCTCGATCATGTCACGATAATCGTAGCGTCAAGAGAAATGTCTTCTTTCGAAAATGCTCTCGTTTAATAAATCGACTTTTTTTTTCCTTGGCTGACAGCGACTCTCGTGCATTTTACTGTACAAAATAGATTTGCCCCGTCATAGTGGTTGATGATTAATCATTATCGATCTACGTGAGATTAGGCTATTCACGCATCCTGAATCCGTTCCTCTCGGCGGCTCGGTGTCTCCGTGTAAAACGTTTCTCTCGGCAACAAGGAGAACGCTCGTGGCGGCCAGAAATGAGGCCATCCTTTCCCCTTGGACTAGCAGCCTGTTAAGTGTTTTTGAGTAGTCACCGAGTAGCACTCGGCCAACGCCGACGGTCGTAACGATCTCCGCTGAACGATTAAGAATCGAAACGACCTTGCAACCGTCGATCGGAAGCATGAAGAATGGAGGGCGATTGCGAGTGTGTGCGTCTGTGTGCGGATGTATGCGTTTAAAGCTCAAAGCACGAGGTACGCGTTGAGAAAAATTGGTCGAGTTTCATTTCGACGGGGGGGAAAAAAAATTGCGCTAGGTCGCGAGAAATGTTAGTCGTTTCTTCGTCGGTCTTTCGTTGCCAGCCAATTAATTCGAAGAAGACAACGTTCTTGAGAAATGTAATTTGAAATATCAGAATGAAATTATGTAACTGATATACCAAGCAAATTATGTGACTTTATGGCCTGGAATAATATCTGTAGCCTGAAGGCAAGAAACTGAAAATCAATTGTTATGCGAGTCCAAATGAATGTAACTATATCCGCAAGATTATTAATTAATGCGTGCCGTTTGCCTCAAAGAAATGATACAATTAGGTAACTCTAAGTTGCATTAGAATATAAAAGTTATTCCAGATTATAAAGTCGGCGATCCGCATATAATATAACCGTCACTAATGTCTTGCTTTCTATTTTCATGCTTGCACTGTAAATTGCAGCGTACGCTAATTACTTTAATCGCTCAGTCGACTGAACAGTCGATTCGACCAATTTTCAGCAAAACGGTTAAAGAGATTCGTTTCTTTAGACATCGTGTACTGATGTTGGAATCGACGACGGACAATTAAGCGTATACACAAAAGGCGACCAGAATTTTACGCTAGAATTAATCAGCTTGTACTCGAATGCAATGTAACCGCTTGAAATAATAGGAAGAGTTAATTTCCATTTCTCAATTCCTTGTATCATAATTCCTTTTTCACCGAAAGAGATCCCTCCAAGCAAATCGCATTCTTATTCCAATGCATCAGAAACTTTTTTACAATTCCTTTTTATAATTTAAAGATAAGACACGCGTCAATGTTTAATATCGCATTGTCTCCCGAGATCAGAGATGTTTCTTTTCAGAGGGGCTCCACGTTTCTGGTCACCTTACGTAAGACGGATCTAAGGGTTTGCGAAATTATGCGGGGCGTGCGCGTTGTATAATATGTTTGCATAAATCTCGGGAGGAGGATGGTACACTACTGAGAACATCGGTGTAGGCATGAAGGGAAATGCACAGGCGCACGAAGCGGTAAATTCCCATTGAGCGGCCCAAAGTTGTCGCTCTGTAATCTCTTTGGAAATGCGCGCTACATCCCGCTTATTACTAGCAGCTCCATCATGAACGTAACTCGGCGGAGAATTTATTTTATAAATTAAATCAATTTGCATCTATTCCTATACGCGGAGGAAAGTCCCCTATTATGCGATAGACTCCTAATACGGGATAGCGGGCTTTCGGTTAAACTAATAGGCGCCGTCGGTTGATTCCACCGCGAATTTACTGCCCTCGGAGCGAAGTCTGCTTAGCGGAAAATTCATTGTTAAAAGATTTGCGATTGAATTTCGCTGTTGAAAACCTGCTATCTCATATTAGAAGCCTGTCTCGTAACAGAGGACTTTCCTCTACTAATTATAGCGACTAATTGTCAATCTACGATCTGTTTACGAAAGAATGATGAAATGATGAGCTCGACGACTCCAGTCAAGTGCGACAAACTCTCAAACGGTCGCTCTAAGTTTGACGCGTGGGATTTTCTGGCTCGTAGATATTGACGGGCGATGAATTTCGCGCATTGAATTACAACACTGTGCTGGAAATTTAACGCGAGAAATGACTTTTCGAGCATTGTTGGGCCGCTCGTTCGATGAGTCGTGTAAATAGGGCCTCGAGAACGAGACTCGTGTCTATGGTACAACGTGTACGCGTACGGCGACACGCGCTTAGGAATAAGGGAGAAAAAGGAGGAAACGCGGACGTTCGTATACCTGGTGTGGTGAGAGTCTTGGGCTGCGTCGGGGTCGCGCTTGGACCCCCGACGACGCTCGACGCCGCCGGGCTGTACGCCCTCAGAAGGGGTCCACCGCGCGGCAGGGTGCTGCTTCCGCCCACGTAGTATCCGCTGCTGCCGGACGTCGAGTTTTTGGCCGTCTGCAATGGGGAAAAAAGGACCTTGTCAGAAAGATAGATTTAGGTCGTCGATAATTCGAAGGCGCGGGATCGCGATTATTTTCCACAATTCAGACCCGCCAGGATCTCATTGACGTGTGGCGCAACCATGTCGGATGTTAGCGTCGATTAAAGGGCGGATACGGCAATTGTAATAACCAGCGAGACATACCAGTCACGCCGTGCCGCGAGACTCGGCGTTTAATTAACGGCCAATTCTGGTAGTTTAGGTATCATAACATTTGCAAACGGTCGAATCTTCTGAAGCGATTGTTATCGCGACGAGATAGAGTCTCGTCCGTGTACGAGCGTACTTCCGGCTACCGCTTTCGCAACAGGTTTCGAGACCCGGTGCCGTTAACGTTAGCTTTCCAGCGCGAATTTCCAACGATTTAACGACCATTTTAACACGCGTGCACAGGTATCGATTTTCTACGTACACGCAAACTTTCATTAGATGAATAATGGATTTAACTTGTCGTCTTAAGCTGCTGAGAAGCAACGAATCTTAAATTTATAATAAAAGAATACATTCTTTGTCGATATTTTGTTGCTACTATTTTCGAAAAAGGAAACCTTTTTGAATGCGGGGTCGCATGACGTAGGACCTCCTTGTTTAGCTTTCCAGCAGGATGCGCTCTGAAATGTTTATACGCGCAATAAAGCGTTTGTAATTCCACTCCCGCTTGCAACATGGAATGCTTAAGTTATTCGCCGTATCATCCCGTTTGTTTCGCGCTGCTTGTCTCGCCAACTTTCCACGAAAGATTAACTTTCCCATATCGATCACACAGTACACTGCATGACACATACGGAATACACTATTAGCGATCCCGCATAGGGTTCTAAAACGGTTAATAAAATGAAGCTGTTTCTCTCGCGCATTACGCCGTAGCTGGCGTGACGAAACGCAACCAGTAAATTCTCTAACGCGATCGCGGTTACGAGTGTATTAAATTGTTAATAAAAATCGGAAAATGCACAATGTTCTCCCTTTACTGGATCGAAATGTTTCGGAGCCACCACAGAAGCAAAAAGTACGTTCAGTCGCAAGTATTTCTTCATATCTGCATTTCTTCACATTTCTTCATTATCTGCAACCTGTGGTTCCGCCCATATCGCAGGTCGATTGTGACAAACGCGGTAGTAAATACGTGCGAACGGGTCCGATGTAGACATACGTCTGGGGAAGGGTTCTAAAACGGTTAATAAAATGAAGCTGTTTCTCTCGCGTATTACGCCGAGGCTGGCGTGGCGAAACGCACCCAGTAAATTCTCTAATGCGATCGCGGTTACGAGTATATTAAATTGTCAATAAAAACCAGAAAATGCACAATGTTCTCTCTTTACTGGATCGAAATGTTTCGGAGCCTCTGTTTTATAAGCACAAAGTAAGTGTGTCCGGTTGCAAGTATTTCTTCGTATCTGCATTTCTTCACATTTCTTCATTATCTGCAATTTGTGGTTCCCGCCCGTATCGCAGGTCGATTGTGACAAACGCGGTAGTAAATACGTGCGAACGGGTCCGATGTAGACATACGTCTGGAGAAGAAGAAACGGTTCTCGCGCGCAGGTCAGATATTCTGATACGGTTCGATCCGTGGGCGATCTCCATCTTCGTAGTCCATTCCCGTGAAGTAGGGACGAAAATTACGCGCCGGTGACTGAAATAGGCCGGTTTAACCTGCGGCCGCCACGAAATGTCTCTCCCCCTTACCGATTCTTACTCGCGCGCTCGCACTCGGCCGATTCACATCGATTTCGCTTTAGTCGTTGTTTACCGTCGCCGCGAGCTCAGCTGGTCGCTCCACTTGCCGGACGAATCGGCCAAGAGGAAAGAAGAGAGATCCATCGGCACAGAAGAGAATCCGTCGACGATTTAATTACCGGAGAGTGATTTTCCGAAGATCGATTGTCTACAGCTGCGCGAAAAAAGTTTAAAAAAAAAAGGAGGAAGAATTAAATTTTTCTCTCGACGGAGGACTATTTAATTTTGTGGCGAGACTCGCGTGCACCTTCCTTTGTGGCAAACGAGAGATAACTCGGCAATAACGAGAGGAAAGGAAAATAACAGCCTGTCCAGGCGTTAATCATACGTCGAATGAAAAGGAGGAAGACAAACATTCTTCCACTCGCCTTTTGTAGATCTACAGGAAATACGAGAAAAGAAGTCCACGGCTGCTGAAGGGTCTTTTCACTTGGCATGCTTTTAATTATAAAAATCATCAAGTAAGGACCAAGAGAGTGCTGTCGAGGCTCTCGATGTTGCGAGAAAGAACAGAAGGTCGCCGAGTTTTGTGCTTTTAGCCGCGAAAGTTGTCACGCGCCGAGCAAAGAGGGTCGGCAGCAAGATATCTTTGAGTTTCTCGGCAATCGCGTACTGGGAAAATATATACGACGAAGGGTTTCGCTTCTTGCTTACGTCGGCAGGCGCGAGGAAAAGCAAAAAGGAACGTCGTGCAGAAGAATCCAAAGGCGAAGCCTGCTAGTGGAGGACGGAAAGTCCGCGCGTCGTTGTTCTGATCGCGAAAAATGTCACTTGGCGAGTGACAAGTGCGATAAGTCCCGAAAAAGAGTTTGCGCAGCAGAGGCACCGGGCAAAGAGTAAAAAATCGACGAGCGGCAAGCGTGGAGGAAGACCGGCGAACGAGGGGGAGATGCCAGGTAGTTTTCTGCAGTTTGACCGGGAGGGTAGACGGAGGGAGGACGAAGAAACTTGCAGCATCGCGTGTAGCGGCTGAAAAAGAGATACCGGCAGGCGAGATTGGCAAGAAGAGCTCGGCGGACAACGTCGGAGGACAATTCTCTTTTCGTGAGCGCGATCAGATAGACGCGGGATAAGATTAAACGGAGGGAAGGTCGAAGCGCGGGCCAAGGAAACGAAAAGGGAGAGAGAGGGAGAGAGAGAAAGCGAAATCTCCCTCTTGGGAATAAGTATATACGAAGAGGAAGACGGAGCAGCAGGCGTAAGAAGCAAACGGTGAACTCTCGCCGCGAAGCGATTGAAGAAATAGCAATTAGATGCAACGAGGGCGATGATCAGATAAGAATGAAGAAATTCGTGACGAACTTCGGAATTAGCATTTTCCCCTCCTCGTCCTTGATCCTCTTGGGCTTGCTCGTCGTGGCGGTTTCGGAAATATCGACTGAGCTCGTTGGTACTGAGAGGAGTGTCCGCGGCACGCCGATGCACAGCGTGCAGTTAACCCAAAAGGGTTACATTCAGGTGAGAATCGCGTGCGACGTAATTCGGGGAAAGCCGGATTTATGGCGTTTGCTCAATTCAGAAAACGCGAGAGCATTTTTGTTTAATCCTTTGCGGAAACATCCTTTGTCCAAATTATTTCTGGGGAAAGAGATTAGCACAAAGATCAAGATTCGGTTCCCTACTTCGCCGAATCGGTTTGTCTAACAACATTTTTATTAATTAGATGAATTTACGGAGATCCCCTAAAGACATAATTTGCCGATTGTAGTCGCGTGCAGATTCGAATGTTTGAAGAATTATGCGATTAAACTATTTGCAGCACATTATGCCGAGTCCAATTCAACGTAGAACTACAAAGGGTCGATATAATAAATTATTCGGAAATTAAATGAATTTGGTGTGAAAAAGAAAGTAGAGAGGGAGAGAAAGATGAAATGGAAATTTCAGATACGGTCATAGGCACCATAATCAGTATCCATGACACTAATTGTAAGTTATGAGTGCGCAATGATTTATGTAATTTTACATTGCTGAAAGCTACTAAAAATTCAGAATATAATGCGGAACTAAAGTTACGCGTTGAATTTTAAGTGTCAGAAACGCACCGGATGCCTCAGCCACAATCTATATTAGATAATGACAAATCCCAAAATTGTTCAAGCTTACGGTAACAAATATTTTTAACATTCGTGCTATTGCGCAGTCCTACAGGAATTCTTGTAATTCCGCTGAAACGATTCGAGTAAGCGGTTAGTCAAATTGCCTACAGAGAGATTGCGTACTAAAACATTCCGTAATACCCTGTATCTGGATATATCGGGAGTGAAAAGCTAACAAAACAGTGGGAACAAATAATGATAAATCGCCATGTTGTCGGAAATAAAGAATACATATGTTCCAACGAAGCGTGGCAACTCACGAGATTTCTATCGATTACGTGAGCAGGAGGGCAAGTTCCATAACATGTAGGAAAAAAAGAGTCGATTTCACACTGATTGCTTAATTTTCATTGCTCGCTTTAAGAAACGTCGGTCGTGGTCTACATACCCATTTCTACATCCATAATGTGGCCTAGATTTTCTTTTACTTTCTTTTACTTGTAAAAATTCTTCAACTGACTCGGAATGAATTCTTTCCTAAAATATTCTTCGTAAAATTAAAGGGACTCTCAGAAATTTCAATTTCGTTGAAATAAAACTGACTGCTAATGTAAGGGATTTTTAAGTTAAAGAGAGTTCTAGGGGTTTTTTGAGAGATTTAGCAGGGATTTCGTACAGATTTAGTGGACATATTTAGATATTTCTCTTAGGAAAGAATTTTAAATTTAAAAAGAATTAAAGAGACTCTCAGAAATTTCAATTTCGTTAAAATAAAACTGACTGCTAATGTAAGGGATTTTTAAGTTAAAGAGTGTTCTAGGGGCTTTTTAAAGATTTAGTAGGGATTTCGTACAGATTTAGTAGACATATTTAGACATTTCTCTCAGGAAAAATTTTAAATTTAAAAAGAATTAAAGAGACTCTCAGAAATTTCGATTTCGTTAAAATAAAACTAACTGCTAATGTAAGGGATTTTTAAGTTAAAGAGTGTTTTTTTTAGAGATTTAGTAGGGATTTCGTACAGATTTAGTAGACATATTTATAAATTTCTTTTAGGAAAGAATTTTAACCTTGAAAAGAAATCATTGCCGTAGGCACGAAGATAAGTTATAACCATCTGGGATACTTTCGTATATAGCATCATTCTAATTAACGCGCGATATGTTGTTGGCTAATCATCTTCACTTTTCAGTTCCTCAGATGGGAACTGCCGGTGCCGGAAATTCACGAATTTACATTCTGCCTTTGGGTGAAGTCGACCGATCTCACGTATCCCCACTCGATCCTTTCGTATTCAAGTGAGTATTCTCAATGAAATCGTGACCTCATATTTATTGCACATACGCACCGTTAATCTCTTCCTTTTGTACATTGGTACGTGCACGACACATAAGTTCTCTCTACCAACTACAATTACGACAAGTTTCAGAAAACGCGGCAAGTTTTAAGAAATCACGAAAAACAAGTGATTTGTTCCAATTGTTTGCAATTGTAGACAGAACGTCGAGACAGCTGCCACGAAAAGGCCCTTATACGTAGACAACCCACGTTTTGCAAATGCTCGAAATGTACAAAATAGAAATCCACTCTTCCGCTATGTGATCGAGGATAATGGCACCCGTTAAACGGATGTTGAGCTACATCCAAGCGGATGTAGTACATGGTCGAGGGATAAGAAGACACGCTTTACCACTGTCCTCTCCGCTCTCTTCCCCGCTCGATTTTGGTCGGAACTGTAGCCGCTTCGAAAATAGAAATGAGGGCTGTTGTTTTACATGGCGAAGCGTTATTATCCACTCAGGACCGCATTCACCGAGTAACTGCGCAAGAGTTCGCGGAAAGTATCTTCGTTTATGGAAAACGCTCCGTCTCTTCGCTCGCGCGTGCACGTATCTCCTTTGCAGTTTAGTAGCACGTTAAGCGAGCGCATTGCCCTGTGGCGTTATCCTTTTTAGTGTGAGAATTAGCGGTCCCGCTGGCGAAACGCTAATTGCACGAAATTACGAAATCTCACGGAATCTAACGGATCTTCGATAGAACCGGCATAAACAGAATTTGAATATTTATGACTGAATGCCCGCGGGCTGTTGCATTTATTGCGGAATACGCTACTTTATATTAATTAGTTCATTAAAATCTTAATCGCCACGTATATATAATGTGTCGCCTAAGAGAGTCAGCGATCGAATGCCGAACGTGTCGCAAGGAATTAGAAGGAAAGCAGATAATTCCTCGGTGGCGCCTATAAATAACATTTATGCGCATGGATTACATTTAACTACACGCTATGTTCTACATAGAGCGATTATGCAACAATCTGTTTAAGTAGCGAGGTAAATGTTGCTCGGACAAAGCAAACGAGGGTTGCAGATCGGAGATTTTGTATCTCCTTACACCCAGAAAAACGTTTGCTTCAATTTTCACCTTACTAGACTGGAAATTTTAAGAGAATTCACATCTATTTCTTCAAATCCAGCGGATGCTTTAGTGGAAGTAAATAAAAATTCAGTGGATCCAAAGAAACATGATTTCATCTCATTTGTTTCGACCTAAATGAATAATTTTTCTGGGTGCACGGGTCAAACGCTCATAATTTCCGCTGCAGCTGCATAAGCAAGGGAGAGACGCAACTATTGTTTGCGCAATGAAAAAATAATCACGTTTCGAAAACGCGGGGGCGGTCGACGGGAAAGGCGAGTCACGCAGAGCGCACGCGGCAGTTTGCATAAATTCTAGCTTCGCGGTGCATCTCCCGCCGTACATCTCGGCTGATGGAGCGATGTACAAACATAATCCTCTTTCGCTGTCAAAGGGAACGAGCGGGAACGTTTGATTCGATCTTGGATATCGTCGCGCGGAAGAAGCATTCACCTGGAAATCGACGGCGTGCAGGTACTCCGGAGGCCGGTCCGCATACGCGAGCATCGTTGGTATCACATATGTCAAAGCTGGGAGAACCGGGTCGGTCGTTACGCTCTATGGCTCGACGGACATTTGGCGTCGCAAGGTCGCTCGAAAGAGGTAAATCCGATTATTCGGCTTCGGAAATTCGCCTTTAAAATCCCGAATTCAAGTGCGAGGGCACTCGAAACCACTCAGAACCCGTAACGAGAGACGCGTCTCTCTACTGTGTCAATTCTCCCTGAATCGTTCTCTTTCTATCGTCCACAAATTGTTCACCGTGCAACCTTATTAACGGACGAATCTTGCAGATGACCGGCCACGTGATCCCGGAAGGCGGCGATATCGTCCTAGGTCAAGAATATACGGACTTTGACAAGGGGCTCGAGGAGGGCATCGAGGGCTCGATTTTGGGCTTCAATCTTCTGCTGGCCTCGGCATTCAATTCACTCGATAGTGGCCTTCATCAAAGGCCTTTATTCCGGTCGGACGATGGAGCTACTGATTTGGCGGAGGTTCCCCTCGCCGCGGAAACCCAGACGGGAATAGCGAGGCGCGATTCGGGTCTCGGAGCGACGCGTGGCCCCGACAGGCTCGTTTCGATCCTATTCGCGCTCAATCCTAATTGGTCCCGTAGAATTTCTCAAACGGACGACGCGACAGCGGTAGAGGATTCCGAAGCCTTGCCACCTCTGCTAAGTATCATCAACGGCACAGAGAATGAAGAGACACCATCGATTAGCGAGCACGCGATCACCTTCGGTACCGACGAATGGACCGGAGAGATCGATCTGCGTGGAAATTCGCGGGACGTTCCCTTAGGTTTGCAATTAGTGAAATTGTCTTACGTCTATTGTCACCTGGGCAGGGGTAGTCCGCCCATAGGTGGCCCGCTGATGTTGATTTCCTGGAGCCGGACACCCGTGAGAGTGTTCGGCGGCGCCCTCATAAAGAATGTCGGTAACGAGTGCGGCAAATTCTGAGAGATTTCCCTCGAGCTAATCAAGGGGGGAGGCGCGCAATTCAAGACTGCAGAGAAAGAATATCGACTGATCTCTTTCGCGAGGTCGTCTCTCGATTTTACGCTCATTCAGGAAGATGGGCGTTTCAACAGTGACACCGGAAAATTGCGTAAAGTCGAGATACGACCTTGCGAAAGAGATCGGTCGATACGTCGAGACGGGATTCTTAGAAGGCTAGGAATTGCAATTATTAAACTTGAAACTTATCTTCTTAATTTCTGAGTGAGCCAGCTTTTTTAAAGGACAGTATTTATGACATTGTAAGCTCACAGTACTTAAGATAGTAATTTAATAATTCTCTCTCTCTGGCGGGGATTCCATACGATATTTTTATACTCTTAACGATTCTTTTGACGGAACTTTGACGGAGAGATTTGCTCCCGTTCCGTCTCGTAACAAGCTAAATACAATTTTTCAGTTTTGTGAAAAAGTACGAAGCACGTTCCCCACTCCTCGTCCTCAATTGCTGTCTACTTCGAAAGAATCAATTCGAAATTCTTTATTCGGTAGAAATAGAAAAATACTGCATTGCCATTGACGCTACTCTCGTTGAGAATACGTCGTCCTTTCTTTCTTCAGCGAGCACTTGACTCAAAACCTTCTATCGTTCGCACTATCTAATGAGTGCCATTGTAACAAGCTTAGGACAGTCATTAATAGACAATAAGCGGATCTAATAGTTTTGGCCTCGTTAATGCATTTACGGATAAAACTAATTTCCACGGCGATATTCAACTATCGCGTAACCCCCGTGATTGCGCGAGTTCGGGGCTCCTCCATCCCCTGCACATTTATGGTCGCACGCGAGTCTCCCAAGTGGAACCTCCGCCCGCAATCGACGATCTCGTTTCGCGTATCGATCCACGTCGCGCGTTAATTAGTTTCGCAGAATTCCCTTGAACGCAATCGCGACCGCGAAGAAGGGAAGGAGAAATGTACCTCGAAAACCGCGACTCCGGCTCGGGGAAATTGTCGAACGCCAAGGGCGTAGCTAACGCGAACGTGGTGGGAGCCGGCGAATCGTGAGAGCCCGACGGGAAACTTGCGGATCTCTCTGGTGTCTTTCTTTCGAGTAAAAGAAAAGGAAGATAGTCGGACGGAAGACCAAACGCACTTACAAAAGGACACGCTAAAAATTGTCTTAATAGTTGTAGGAAGAATAAAATTTGCATAAGATTCTCATTATGACTTATCTCGGCATTAAAGTATCTCGCGGTTAGTATAAAACGTTAACATTGGGCTAGCGATGTAAATTTAACGTAACTTGCTCATAAGAAATTGTGCTACGAGGCACCAGTGAACTTTGCCTCTGTATCCAACGAAGTAAATTTATATAGTAAAAGTAAAGAGAAACGCGCGAGTTCTAAAAACTACAATTAATCGCGAAGAGACGATTCTGAACATCTTCCTGTTGAATCTCCCTCGACGAACGCGACACAAACAAACGTACAGCAAATTCTAGCTACGCCACTGCCCGTTCGTTGTCTCTTTGTAAGCGGAGTTTCGACACTGACGTTTCGCGGATGCGGATTTTCCGCTGACGTTGATAACGCTGGCGAACGGGCGCGGTGGTGTCTGAGGATCCGGCCGCAAAAGCGCTTTTCCTCCTGGCGAGCCGCGCCGCGTGTTGAAATTCCGTTTACGTCTCGCAATCCGGATCGCCGCCGGCGAATAAAACGTGCTGTCGAATAACCGACGTTACACTCTCGTAGCGACAACGCAAAGTCCATGCTGTATTTTTTTGCATGCACTGAAACGACAGTGGAGAAAATTCGGGCATTCCCATCGAGTCGTACAGAATACGCGTAGTGTATGTGTGTAATGTGTGTATCTAACCAGACAGTTTTCCTGCAGCGATAGAAGTACCTAATAGAAGATTATAAGCCGCGTAATGTTCACAATATTCCGCTGAAAGTAGTCGAAGATTACTCCTTCGTTAATTAAGCCTTACAAGACGCTACCTAACCGAGGCTGATATACTTGGAAAATATTCCTCCCGCCTCTCTTTCTCTTACTTACTGCAGCTTCAAAATGCGCACACGCGAAGGACAAGTTACCGCCCTGAGATCATGCGTGCGTACCCAATTACAAATTACTAATTAGTCTAATTATTCTATTAACCGCCGTTGTGTCATACCGTAAATTACAAAGCGTACAATGCCAAATAGCTCAGTAGCAGGATTGCATAAATAGCGTTACACCAACTACGCGCGTCTTAGTATGCGTTTTCTCTCCGGCCGTGCTTTATTTGGCGAACTTGATGCGCCGGTTCACAGATAGCCGCTCATTTCTGCAGCCTCTTACGCAAAGCTGCCTCTGCGACCATTTAAAGAACGTACTATGTTTCGCGACGCGTGTGTCGGAATCAGATGGAAAAGGGGGAGCGACGCATTGTCTTCTCGATACTTTCGCTACGTGAGACAATGCGGTCCCGAGCATCGCTTCTGCTACTTTCGTGATATCTGCAGATTTTGTCCGTAATTTAACGGCATTAGACGCCGAGAAGGCAAAATTTGCGGAACGTCGGTGGTGCTGGAGGCATAAACAAGGGTGGTGCATTTGCAAAAAAAAAACAGTATCCCTCCTTGCATGGTTGCTCCTCAAAGGAACAAGGGAAAAGAAAAGAATTGAAAAGAAAATTTAGAAATAAAGGACCGCGGGTTTCTAGAAAGTAAGAGAAGATAATGAGTGTAATTATAATTTTTGTGATCTTTAATATTCAAATTAATATTTGAGAGAAGAACGCATATATCTACGTGTAAAAAGGACCACCGACGTATTTCGTTTTATATGCACGGTGCGGAGCGAGGGAAAACTTTTGTACTTGATGTTTAACGAATGAGGAATAAAAGTACTTTTGTGACGCAAAAAATTGCAAAGTTTTATTGTCTACGATGCTGCGTTAATTTTGACCATTCGTGAGGTTTGCAACTCGCATATGCGCATGTGAGCCATTACACGTCTCCCGTCCCTCCAACACACATCTATTTGTGCGAATAAAAGCAAAAGCATAAATGCGCATGATTATTGCATCGCGCCTGGCTATCTCGAATATTTCCGCTCTAGGAGGCAATTCCGTTGATTCTCAATTTAATGGCAATTGGCAATTGGCAATTTGTATGGCCGATAAGATAATTGCATCCCTGGCAATATCGGCCGACACGTTAATTTTTAAGTAGATTATAATAATAATCGCAGCTGTAATTGCATTAGCAAATTAAGAATACAAATATCAAATAATTACAATAAGGTAGGAGAAAATGTATATGTTTTGCGGTTGTTTCACGTTTTAAGTAAGCGCCGTGATAAAATTTTCGGGTAATTGTCGAGTAGCGCTCGTGAAATCAATATGTGCAGAAATTATATTTTTGGCTAATAATGATTTTATACGGCGAGTAAATATTTATGAAAGCAGCGCTTATCAAGCAAACTGACCAAGAGCTTCGTTTGAATAATGTAGCGCATTACTCGCGAACGTGCCCTAGTAGTCTATCAAACAAGAGGATTTGGCTATTGTTCAAACTATTAATGAATGCTGCTATTAATTCAGGCGCACGCCTTGTCGAAACTCTTTTAATCCATCATGAACAGCGCGGCATAAACACCGTCCCTGCTGCGCTTAAAAAAATGGAATATTTTGCAAAATTATCATTCCGACAATTTTCTTAGATGAAATGGGCTTGAAAAAATATTACTCGAGATCGACAAGGATTAAAGGGCTTCTTGCGACTGTTTCTCGTTCGGTCGATTTCTCATTTTGAGTTTTCACTATTGCAATATTACACGCCGCATTAATTACGATATTGCGTGACACTTTAGGGGAGAAACTTAATTTCTCTATTTCTATAGCGCCGGCAGGCGATACGCGATTATGTAAAGTGCAACTCTTTTCGTTGCATCGTTCACACGACATTGCGATCGTCTCCTCTCAGTTTGAAATAACTATCATAAAACGCGTGCACGACGTAATGACATGCGTGCTGTGTTATATAATGTAAAAATGCCGCTCATCCGCATCACCCGTTAAACCGCATGAATCGCGAGTCCGACCACTTTCGGATCTACGGTAGGAGATTTCGAGATTATCAGCTTTTCCAGATCGATAATGGATGACGTTCGGCACGAAACTGACATAAGTCTACAAAGATTGCAATTACATCGAAGTCGTGAAACTTCGCGATAGACAAAAGGCACGGTCGATTTCCTTTTTAACATTTTCTGAATTTACAATGTAAAGCGCGAGTCCGTCATGTTTCTGTTCCCCTTTATCGCTTACATAAAAGATGTGATGAAGTGAAAATTTATTCGTGAAACTAAGACGTCGCTCGCAAATGTTCTACATACAACGATGTTTTATGGAAATTAATATTTACACAAAAATTAAAATTAAACACGCGACGATTCATGCCGCGTCACGTTTTCGTAAGTTTTTCCTGTTTTCTAACTTTCATGATTTGCGCAAATCGGGCTATATGATATATCGCCACACGTGTTATGTGTTGTATAGATGTAAGCATTGTATTCGTTCGTTTCTTCCCGGGCCTCCCGATGCCGAATTGCGCTTTCACTTTCACCAAAATATCACTCATATCGTGTACAAGATCTCCTACCATTACAATGGATGCTTTTTGAGTCACGTAATTTTCGTAGAATTTGTCCCTTACACATGCCAGTTTCGTTAGGTAATATATCTCGCTGAATTTCTCGCTTAGTATTTAACTAGAAAATGAAAAACTGGGCCTCAGTGGTACACTTATAACTGTAAATCAGTGACTATTCACTGCCTTCAGTGATAATCCACTGATTGATCTTTAGAGAGTAAAGAAATTAATATTTTCAATGTTACAACTGTTCGAAATTCTCAAAGAACTATCTTCGAGCACTTTGCAGTGAAAATCTATTTGTTTTATCGAAAACTTTGTCTACGGAAAGACGCATATTTGAAAGACCAAATCTTTATGATTTACTGTAAATAAGCAGAATGCCATTAGATTGACATAATTCACACAGATATCCAAGGGACAAAGTGACAATCACAGCTCGCACAAATGTAAGTAGCTCCGAGCTGTCGTTAACGGCATTGTGCAATAAAAAGAAACGGTTCGAGTCTGACGAATGCGCTACCGATCGCTTGCAATTAAAATCCGATCATTGCTAATTTATCTCGCGGAATGTACGTGCCGTTAACTTTCATTTTCCGTAAACCTTTGCGCAAATTGCATACCGCGGGAACAACGATCATATTTTTTATCACAATTAGTGTGCCGTACGAGGTGCCAATTACACGATTACGTCAACGCTATAAATTAAGCTAATTATTGTACCATACAAACGGAAATGTCGACGATACGAGGTCATTGTAAAATAAAATTATATACAGGGTGTACTAAGGCCACCCGATATCCTTTTAATCTAGATTCTTTAGAAAATTTCGGGACAAAAATTCTAATATAAAACTGTCGAGGCTATAATAGTCTTTCAATGATAAGCAATTACATTTCACAAATGATAGGCTTGAGATTTCATCAGGCACGGCAACGTGACAAGTGATGAAAGTGTTCTATGATTGCTTATTACTGAAAAGCTATTATGGGCTCGACAATTTTGTGTTAGATTTTTTGTCTTGAAATTTTCTAACGAATCTGTGATTAAAAGGCTATCCGATGGTTTTGGTACACCCCGTATACTTTGTATAGTAATATAACAGCTAATGAAACATAAATAAGTGACAAATAATATAGTAAAGAAGAGATGACGACAAAACTTCATAATTATCT